GAGCAGGGAAGCAGGAGCTGAAGCCGAATGGGTTTTGCAACTGTCAGTCATCTCAGACTTGACAGTTAGAGGCAGGTTCCGATTCTGGCTCCCCGTTCTCTTGGTGGGGGGGGGGCACAATGGAGCATTTGTTAGGGGTTAGTTGATATGCTTCCTTCTGGGAAGATCTTGACATTGGAGGGAGTGGTCCTTGATCTCCAGCTGAAGAAACTGGGAAGGTGCATTTTAGGTTGCCATGGAGATGGTTTCTTCTGTAGGAGAGCAGAGGGTGAGACTGGAAGCCGGGGATGGGAGAGAGAATATGTGAGGAGAGGCAAATAGCCAAGAGAAAAAGGGTAGCTGCTAACTCCTAAGTGAGAGACCAGTCTGGGGTGACCAGTCGTTTTGTAGGTGCTGTCCCGCAGTTCAATATGCACCTCATATTTTACGTGCTACCACTTCTATAGGGCTTTTCATGAGAGGATCCAATAGCGCTTTACAAATACTCACCTACCTCACTGGCGGGAGCATGGAGAAGGGGGTTGTGTTAGCAGAAACGGAAACATGGAGAGGTTAAGATACTGATCCAAGGCAGTGTAACATGTGGGAGAGCAGGAACAGAATCCAGGAATCTCAATACCCAGTCCCAGAGCTCTGTGAGACCCCGCTCTTGGCAAATCCTGGATTGCAGTTCCTTCGTTCCAGTCACTAGACTAGTGGGTCTCAAACTTTTGTACTAGTGACCCCTTTCACATAGCAAGCCTCTGAGTACAACCCCCCCCCCCTATAAATATAAAAAAAGTGTTTTTAATTTAACAGCATTTATAATGCTGGAGGCAAAGCAGGGGTTGGGTGGAAGCTGACAGCTTGTTACCCCCCCCCCATGTAATAACCTCCCGACCCCCAGTTTGAGAATCCCTGCGCTAGACAATCCCAGATCCCCCATTTATATAAATCCCAAACTCAGCCCAGGTTTGAGCAAACCCTATTCCCATCTCCATAGCTTGTGAAAAGGCTTTAGGCATATGTTCTAAGACAGGCAAACGCTGGGGCACCCACCTTAATTTCAGAGGGTGCAAGTCTACGAAGAACCAGAAGAGTGAATCTCTGCACAGCTCTGAATTACTACATCCCCTAGTGACTGCCTCCAAGTTAAGTGGGAAGGATCCAGCCTTGAAATGTTCATTTGTAGGATGCACCAGGCAATAAAGATGGCTGGCTAATTGATTCTGGCGGTCATTCCCAGCGGATAGTGGTTTTGCTTATACGTATTACAACACGTGCTCCATCGTAACATAATAGTTACAGACATGCAGAGAGTGCACGGACAAGTGAGAATGCCACTATCATCAACAGAAGAGGAACCAGGAATGTAATGGGAGCCATCTTCAGGTTTGGGAGTAATCCCACAGCGTTCCCACGTTCAGGGATGGGCAAGCCCTATAATTAGAGCCCTGATCCTGCAAACACCAATTCAGGTGAGTAATTCTTTTCCCATGGAAGTCAAGGCACCTGCTTGCATGACTGCAGAGCCAGGCCTTACA